CTCACACACACACAACACACTCACGACACACAACACACTCACTACACACAACACACTCACTATACACACAACACACTCACATACACACAACACACTCACGATACACACAACACACTCACTGTACACACAACACACACTCACTGTACACACAACACACTCACTATACACACAACACACACTCACTGTACACACACACACTCACACACACAACACACTCACTACACACAACACACTCACTGTACACACAACACACTCACATACACACAACACACTCACTATACACACAACACACTCACTGTACACACACACACTCACTATACACACAAACACACTCACTAACACACAACACACTCACTGTACACACAACACACTCACTGTACACACAACACACTCACTGTACACACACAAACACTCACTGTACACACAACACACTCACTACACACACACACTCACTGTACACACAACACACACACACACACACACACACACACTATACACACAACACACTCACGTACACACAACACACTCACTATACACACAACACACTCACTACACACACACACACACACTGTACACACAACACACTCACTGTACACACAACACACTCACTGTACACACAACACACTCACTTACACACAACACACTCACTGTACACACAACACACTCACTGTACACACAACACACTCACACGTACACACACACACTCACTCACATGTACACACAACACACTCACTGTACACACAACACACTCACTGTACACACAACACACTCACTGTACACACAACACACTCACTTACACACAACACACAACACACACAGTACACACACACACTCACACACTACACACAACACACTACTATACACACAACACACTACACACAACACACTCACTGTACACACAAACACACTCACGACACACAACACACTCACGACACACAACACACTCACTGTACACACAACACACTCACTATACACACAACACACTCACACACACACTCACTCACACACAAACACACTCACGACACACACACACACTACACACAACACACTCACTATACACACAACACACTCACTCACACACACACACACTACACACAAACACACTCACTGTACACACAACACACTCACTGTACACACAACAACACACTCACTTACACACAACACTCACTGTACACACAACACATTCACTGTACACACAACACACTCACGATACACACAACACACTCACTCACTGTACACACACACACACTACACACACACAAACACACTCACTGTACACACAACACACTCACGACACAAACACACTCACGACACACAACACACTCACTATACACACAACACACATACACACAACACACTCACTGTACACACAACACACTCACACACACAACAACTCACTATACACACACAACACACTCACTATACACACAACACACGATACACACAACACACTCACTGTACACACAACACACTCACGACACACAACACACTCACTACACACAACACACTCACCACACACAACACACTCACTGTACACACAACACACACACTGTACACACAACACACTCACTGTACACACAACACACTCACTGTACACACAACACACTCACACACACAACACATCACGACACACAACACACTCACTACACACAACACACTCACTGTACACACAACACACACTCACTATACACACAACACACTCACTATACACACAACACACTCACACACACACACACACACACACTCACTGTACACACACACTCACTATACACACAACACACTCACTATACACACAAAAACACTCACTGTACACACAACACACTCACACACACAACACACTCACTGTACACACAACACACTCACTGTACACACAACACACTCACACACACACACACACTCACTGTACACACAACACACTCACATACACACAAACACACTCACTGTACACACAACACACTCACTGTACACACAACATACTCACTTACACACACACAACACACTCACTGTACACACAACACACTCACTGTACACACAACACATACACACACAACACACTCACTGTACACACAACACTCACTATACACACACAACACACTCACTACACACAACACACTCACTAACACACAACACACTCACTCACACACAACACACTCACTGTACACACAACACACTCACTGTACACACAACACACTCACTGTACACACAACACACACACTCACTGTACACACAACACACTCACTGTACACACAACACACTCACTGTACACACAACACACTCACTGTACACACAACACACTCACTGTACACACAATTCATTTCAAACAGTTCAGAATCACAGTGCCAGAGATCCAACATTCATGTAAATTTGTCTGAACACATTCTGTACTGTACAGGAGACACGGCACAGAGGAGACTGATTGACAGTGGTCTACAGTCCCTTAGCCAATCAGGACGCAGGGGGAGGAACACAATGCGCAATCATACAATGTAAAAAAAAAAGAAAACATGCAAAATTGCACTAAAAAAACAGCAAAACACTGAGGCCACAAAAGGTGAACTGTGTTATAGTGAGGGATGACTGTACTTCTGAGCTACACTTGATCAGGACTAGGGATGGGCATTCGATTAAATTTTCTTAATCGATCGTCGGGAGAATTACCGATCGATTATCGATTAATCATTCATGTTTATATATTAAAATGATCATCATTATTATTACTATCTGCACTACTAATCTGCATAAATAAATTCAACTTTACGACATATAAACCGTAACGACTCTAGAGCCACACCAGTCCGTTTGACATTATAAATGAAGAAAAAAAAACAGCTCTTGTGCACTGATGTGACATGACTCAGTGGAATACAGGTTAGTGTGACCATATTTGCGTTTGTCAAAACCAGGACACCGTACGGGGGGTGGGAGGTGGGAACTCGTCATCAACATTGTTCTCCTCTCACCTGGCAACGCTTTTTAATGTTTTCGGTGAGCTTTTTCCCACTGGACACCGAAACATATGTGCTGCTTTATACACTGTGCACATGGCCTCCCACTTGTCCCAACCGGAACAGGGAATTTCTTGTACAAATCATCGTTAAATACACATTTGTGCTTCGGCACGTTGCAGACTGACCCACTGTTTGTGTCTCGCTCCTTCTAAGTGCAGAGACACATGTCCGGACCCCTGTTTTGTCCCAGGACACATAAGTTTGGTCTCCCTACGCTACGCACAGCAACCTACATTCGGTTTGTCGATTAAAAATTAACGTAACTGATGAAATTCTAAATGATCAATTATCGATTAATCGACTAATCATGCCCATCTCTAGTCAGGACTATAGCTGGAGTTTTACCTCTCGTGCTTCTTAAAGGTCGATGGAGGTCACAGAGTCACAGGGAGAACATGCAAACACTGCACAGAAAGACCCCAGAGCAGCTGGGAGTTGTGCTTCACATTCAGAAGTATTTCTCCACACAGAATGAGCCATACACTCTCTCTCTTATTCTTGTCTCTCATGTTTTTTATGGGGAAAACACAGGATGCAGTTTAACCACAGCCTTTTGCTGAATGAAGCTGTTTACTCCAGTGGAAATACACAGAGGAAACTTGGGCTTCACACAGGAGCTGGGCCTTCTGTGTTGGAATTATGTCCTCTGTTGTTATAGCAATAACACAGTTCAAAACAAAATATTCGATCTCTGGAACAGGGAAAGTCCTCAGAGAAATGAGGCACTACTCACATGTTTTGTTCTTTTACATTATAACGCACCAGTACCGGCAAATGTGATTTAAATACAGTTATAGACTCCATTTATCCCTCAAATTTATTTATCATTCATTTGATCAACAAAGAACTTAAAGGGACAGTTCACAATTTTGGACATAAGGTCTCATTTCCTAGTGATCTAGAGTACTGTAGATATGAGGAGACACTTTTTGAAATATTCCATCCAGTCCTTGTATTTGCAGAGGTCGCTGGTGCTAGATTAGTGCATGTCAATGGTCATAGTTCTCTGCCACTAAAAACAGTCTTACCCACTCCACAAAACACCCAAAACAAATCTATTATTACACCAGACTGTCCATGTGAATGTCTGTGTCGATAGAATAATTTTGGAAGTAAAACCAATTGTGTATCGTATGAATCGTTGCATGTTGAGGGACTATTTTCTCAGCAGCAGTGGAATTTTACTCTGCTGTAGTTAGTTGTGATGATATGAACGTGGCCATAACTGAAAAAGACTTCTTCGTGTGCTCTATGTGTCGCTATGGCAACTGCAGGTAAACAAACTATTACAGAGCCACTATTACTAGAGCAGAAGTAGGACCCAAAATGCATAACTGCATTTCCAAAGTTGTTTAATGAACAAACACAAAATCCAAAACCGACATGAGAGTCATAATGACAACGAACCAACAAAGGGCAAAGGAGAACACAGGATATATATGCACACACATGAATGACACACAGGTGAGACACATTAGGGCGGGGCAAACAATTAATACAACAGGAAGTCAAAACACACACGACTAGAGAAGTACAAAATAAAACCAGGTCAAGAACAGAAAATTTATTCAATGAAAATTAACACCAAGACAGAGCTTTCTATCAGGAAGTACAAGTCACTACTGCTGCTCTGACAGAAATCCTTCAAATGCAAGGATGGTTTTACTTCTAAAATGATTCTGTCAACACAGACATTCACATGGACAGTCTGGTGTAATAATAGATTTGTTTGGGGTGTTTTGTGGAGTGGGTAAGACTGTTTTTAGTGGCAGGAGAACTATGACCATTGACATGCACTAGTCTAACACCAGTGACCTCTGCAAATAAAAGGACTGGATGGAAGATTTCCAAAAATGTCTCCACACGTCTCCAACACTCTGGCTCACGAGGAAATGAGTTCCAATGTCCAAAATTCTGAACTGTCCCTTTAAGAGATGTTGCCACAGTGATGGTTCTGTGTCCCATCATGGCTGTTTGTATTCTTTTAAATTGGATATTGGTTCAACGGGAGGGTGTTAAACTGTCAGTTAAACTGTCGGATAGTTTGATCGTGAGAGGAGTTTGTCTGTTTATGAGCGGCATGGAACACAGCAAAGTGAGTCTTTACCTCCATCACACAACAACATGTGTTTGTGTCTGTTAATGTGGTGCTGACTCCAGTCTCACCACAGCTTTATCATGTCAGAAATGTCATTTGAATTGTTTATGGATATATTTACTCTAAACTATGTCTAAACCAGGTCTAAACTAGATCTAAACTATGTCTAAACCAGGTCTAAACTAGATCTAAACTATGTCTAAACCAGGTCTAAACTAGTACAAAACCATGTCTAAACCATGTTTAAACCAGGTCTAAAACTAGATCTAAACTATGTCTAAACCAGGTCTAAACTAGTACAAAACCATGTCTAAACCATGTTTAAACCAGGTCTAAACCAGGACTAAACTTTGTCTAAACCAGTACTAAACTAGGACTAAACTAGATCTAAACTAGTACTAAACCATGTCTAAACCATGTTTAAACCAGGTCTAAACTAGGACTAAACTAGATCTAAACTATGTCTAAACCAGGTCTAAACCAGGACTAAACTTTGTCTAAACCAGGACTAAACTAAACTAGGACTAAACTATGTCTAAACCAGGACTAAACTAGGACTAAACTAGATCTAAACTATGTCTAAACCAGGTCTAAACTAGATCTAAACTATGTCTAAACCATGTTTAAACCAGGACTAAACTTTGTCTAAACCAGGACTAAACTATGTCTAAACCAGGTCTAAACTAGTACTAAACCATGTCTAAACCATGTTTAAACCAAGTCTAATCTTGGACTAAACTAGATCTAAACTATGTCTAAACCAGGACTAAACTAGGACTAACACATAAACCAGGTCTAAATCAGTCAGATGCAATACACAATTCACAATTTACTTCCATTCTTTTAACGTCTTCAGGCACTTGTACCGTACACAAAGACAAAGCAGTTTCACTTTAAAACTCTTTTGGGGACTGGATTTATTTAACTCTGAGTCGTGTAAATCCCAGTGTCACTGACCAGCACCATCAAACTGAAAATGGATTCTGGATGGAGCCAAAGCCTCTTTATTGCAAAAACAGTGTCCTCTGAAACCTTTTCTACATGGTTCCTCCCACTCTTCACCCTCGTTTCAGGCGGCTTTCCCTCTCGTCCATTTAGAACAGTTGGCAGCTTCCATAATGTCTGAATGGGTCATTTCCTAAATGAAACCAAAGGACCTGCTAAAACATAAATGATTCTGTTTATTTGTACTTACCGACTGTAATGTTCTCTGACCTTCTGTGCTGTGTTCAGAGGGAGTGTGTGTCGCTGCATGTGGGCCAGGCGGGCGTGCAGATTGGCAATGCCTGCTGGGAGCTGTACTGCCTGGAGCATGGTATCGAACCCGACGGGCAGAAGGCCGGGCACAGCAGCCTGTGCAGCTCGGACGACTTCTCTTTCAGCACGTTCTTTTCTGAGACGGAATCGGGCACGCATGTGCCCAGGGGCGTGCTGGTGGACCTGGAGCCCACAGTTGTAGGTAAGTAAGATGGGAATGGGGGTTTATCATTGCAAGAAGGTTCCAGGTTCCATCCTGGGTTTCCTCTGGGCATACCGGTTTCCCCCACCAACCCAAAACATGCACAGTGGGTTAAAAACTATAGTCCTCACCACGACTAATCCAAAATCTGAAGATGGGTCCCCCTGATCAAGATGACGTGGATCAAATGCAGAGGACAAATTTCACACATTTTCTTTTATAGGATTCTGATCACATTTTAAATGTGTATAAAAGAACTGACAAAAAGATTAAGAAGTGTGTAAAATCCCAGGTAGAATCCACAGCAAAAGGAGAAATTCAATTTGTCAAGTGGACAAAAGTTGTTGGTTTTTTTTTTTTTTGACTCTTCCAGCTCATCCAAGTTAGTCTGATTCCGGTTTCACTTTGTGGAAACTGTCTGGGATTCGGGATTAGGATTCGTTCGCTCGATGGTCAGCTGGTACTTTTTTATTCAACCAATCACTGCTATTTGGTTGTGACGTTTGTAATGCTCCAAATCCCGTAGGAAGAAGGACAATAACGTCTTTCCCCTTGATACAATTCACCAAACATTCTCTTTGTTCCGGCTTTAAATCCTCGATCTGGGGAATCGTTGCCAACACAGAATGTCTGTCTTCGTCTACATCCATCTTGACCACTTTGTTTACTGTTGTGCTGTTCCATAAAAGGGACCCAGACAGACGCTACGAGTTTGACATCATGGCTCCACAGCTCACAGCTGATTGGCCGGTGCGCGGTCTACAACTTCCAGTGTTCTTGCAAACTGTCTAGTGTATCCTGATTCCTGACCTAGTCTCTGGAGAGAAATGAAATTGAGCTGAGGCACTAGGTGGAGCCAGCCTTGATACATCCAAGCTGGTTGTTCAGTTCTTGACCAAAAAACTTGTGCAGTTGACAAACTGAATTTCTTCTTTTGCTAAAGAGACTGAGAAATTAAGAGACAAACTAATAAAAAAGAGACAAACTAATAAAAAAGCACATTTCAGCAGGAATAGCAGTTTTTGAGAAGAATAAAGGAGGAGATTTTACTACTGGGGGCAATTATGGTACTTTGACCAATTATGGTACTTTAATTTAATTTAACCTTTTAAAACCTTTTGATTTAACTTTTAACCTCGCAGCCTTCATAAAACATGAAATAAACTACCAGTGAGTAAATACACTAGTCTAAAGTATTTCCCATGCAGTACCAGATTATAATATTTTCTATATGTGTACAGTAATAATGTGTAATGTGTAATCTGTTGTGTTGTGTGTCAGATGAGGTGAGGAAGGGGCCGTACCGTCAGCTCTACCACCCTGACCACCTCATCTCAGGGAAGGAGGACGCCGCCAACAACTACGCCCGTGGGTACATCACTGTGGGCCAGGCCATGATCCCGACCGTCGTGGACCGCATACGCAAACTGGTCAGTGTGTGCCTGATTCAACTAAAGATGCACTGTGGAACTTTTCGGCAGAGGTCAAGGGGCAGTTAAAATGGATATTGGAAAGGGCCCATATTACGCTATTTTCTGATCTCTGTTATAATGTTGTTTCCTCATCGCAAACAGACCTGAAGTTGTGTTTTGTTTCATTCACACATGTTTAAACCCTGCGTATTTAGGCTGAGTTCTTCTCTCAAACTGAAAACACTCTGTTCCACCTTGTGATGTCATACAGGAAGTGCTTCACTATGTTTTTAAAATCCATACACTTTCACTAGAATCATTTGGATAATTTCAGCCCTTGAACTGGCAATTCCTACTGAACTAAAGGCAAAAGGAACTTGAAAACTACCACTGCATGACATCACAAGGTGGAACAAGGTATTTTGAGTGACATGGACAGACTTGAAAACTACTGCTAATAAAGGATTACGCAACGCAAACATGTGTGAGTGAAACAAATTACAACTCCAAGTCTGTTTTTGATGAGGTAACTACATTATAACATGACTTAAAACTCACAAGGGTAAATTTGCTTAATATAGGACCTTTATAATGCACGTTTATTTTCTTATATAGTGAGTTTTTGGGTCTAGTCAGATGAAAATGATCAGGTTCAAAATTATGAATTTACTTTTGGGTATTTCATGGCTAAGTAAAAAGTAATCAATAGGGAAAACTGTCTCTTGCTTCCATGTGGGAGTAGGTCATCATCACATTCTAGAATCTGAAAACCAACTATTTCTTTGCCTAGAATGTTTCACTATATGGCATTAAACTTATCTCTCTTCATAGACAGGTGGCACCACCAGGTCAAACATTTAAATCCAGACTGCTGACATATTTGGCTTGTCACTGCAATCTGGACTCAATAAGGCTGACAACTAAAACACAGAAAAAAACTAAACAAAAACAAAAACTGCATAACCTGTTTGTCTCCATGGAGAGACAGATTATTATTTTTTTGCTCAAAAATAGATGGAAAAACATGTGTTCTGACTGTGAGCGTGGTCACCTAATCTACATGACTGACTGATACAGTATTTTGTTGTTTACAACAGACGTATGTAAATAACTGTAGTCTTAGAGATGTATTTGCAGTGTCTGTGATTTGCTAATTGCAAACATTCAACTTGCAGTCTTAAATTTTAATACAGTAGAGATGAAGAGATAACATCTCCATGGGAACAAGCTGCCACCAGAAAAGTTACACCTTGCACCTTTGAAATAAACATTTAGTTTAGTTTTATTTTTTTCTACTTCTTAGTAATAATTACTGAAAAATACTGTTTATACTGAACACAATATTAACAACACTCTTTCTTTAGACAATTGAATATTTTCTTTTGGGAAAAAAAATAATAAAAAAAACGTTGTGTCCTTAGGCAAGGCACTTCACCTGCATTGCCTGGTATGAAAGGGGTGTGTGCATGAGTGATGGTGGTGCTCCAGGGCAATAGTAGCTTACAATCACCACCACCAAATGTGGAGTGAACAAACAATGAACTGTAAAGACTCTGGGTGTCTTGAAAGGTGCTATATAAATGCAATGATTAATGAATATGCCCATCCATCCATTTTCGTTCGCTTATGCGGGGCCGGGTTGCGGGGGCAGCAGCCTAAGCAGGGACTCCCAGACTTCCTTCACCCCAGACACGTCCTCCAGCTCCTTGAGGGAGACCCCGAGGCGTTCCCAGGCCAGCCGAGAGACATAGTCCCTCCAGTGTGTCCTGGGTCTTCCCCGGGGCCTCCTCCCGGTGGGACATGCCCGGAACACCTCCCGAGGGAGGCGTCCAGGAGGCATCCGGAACAGATGCCCGAGCCACCTCAGCTGGCTCCTCTCGACGTGGAGGAGCAGCGGCTCTACTCCGAGCTCCTCCCGTGTGACTGAGCTCCTCACCCTATCTCTAAGGGAGCACCCAGACACCCTGCGGAGGAAACTCATTTCGAGCGCTTGTATCTGCGATCTCGTCCTTTCGGTCATTACCCAGAGCTCATGACCATAGGTGAGAGTAGGAAAGAAGACTGACCGGTAAATCGAGAGCTTCGCCTTTTGACTCAGCTCCCGCTTCACCACAACGGTCCGATACAGCGACCGCATCACTGCAGAAGCTGCACCGATCTGCCTGTGCAGTCACATTTTTATGTTATTTTGTAATCTAGCTATTTGTGTTGGTGCTGTTAAGTAGCTCCCTTATTGATAAAATGTACTAAATTACTAATGTAAAGTTTTGCTCACGTTTCTGTTAAGTTTTTAGGATACTCTTGCATTACCGGGGTGGGTGCGCCAGGAGGTGGCAGTGTAGTGAGTAAGTTGCGGGTCTCCAGCCACGTCCCTTCTTGAAAAGTTTTGTGCCGCTCCTCTTCATACAATGAAGCGAGGCTGCCCAGAACCAAAGCCCACTGCTCACTGTCTTTATTTTTCTATTATTCAGGTAATCTAATGTGGAACACTTACAAAAAACGTACATACAAGAGAAATGTATTTTATTTTGGTTGTTTAGAGCCGATATACAAGTGGTTTTGATAAAGATAGATCACGTTAGTTTGTTAAAAGCTCTGCTGGTCACCGCAGTAGGAACATGAGGTTTTGCAATGGCGGCGCCCGTCCGCAACTTGAACTTTTTTTTAATAAGCATGTAGTATCCTGGACTATTTGTATTGTTCATATATAATTTCTGATTAACAGTTAAGATAAAAACAAGTAAATTGAGTAAATGTGTAAGCCAATCTGAAAAGCATGAATAATAATTCAGTTAATTGTCAAGTAAGAAACATACTGTTGTTGTATAGATATATAGAGATATATACACGTATTTGAGTAAATATATGTTTTTTTGGTAATTGGACAGAATGTGATGTTAGAACATAGGTTAGAACATATATTGAAAAAGGGCCAAATTATTGATAAATTTAGACTAAACTGTAATTTTTATTATTTTGTAAATAAATATACAATGAAGTGAGGCTGCTCAGAACCAAACCTCACTGCTCACTGTCTTTATTTTTCTATTATTCAGACACATTCTTCTGTGCGGGTCTGCCCCCTAGACCGGACCCGTAACAAATAATTAATATCTAAGTTCTGATACAATTCAAGATCATTTTAATTGCTATTCAGAAAAGGATTTCTGTCCTGTGATAGTGACTTTTTTTTAGTATCGATACCTTCTCAAATGAGTATCTAGTTTCGATACTAGTTTTAGAATCAATAAGTATCTTAATTTCGATACTTTTGGCAAACCTAGTCTGTACACATCTGCTTTGTCTCCTACAGACTGAACAGTGCGCCGCTCTCCAGGGCTTCCTCATCTTCCACAGCACGGGAGGAGGGACCGGCTCAGGCTTCACCTCCCTGCTGATGGAGCACCTGTCCGAGGAGTACAGCAAGAAAACCAAGATGCAGTTCTCCATCTACCCCTCCCCCCAACTCTCCACCGCCGTCGTAGAACCTTACAACGCCGTCCTCGCCACCCACACCAACATGGAGTACTCCGACTGCCGCTTCATGATGGACAACGAAGCCCTCTACGAGATTTGCCAACGCAATCTGAACATCACCCGACCGATGTACAGCAACGTCAACCGTCTCGTGAGCCAACAGGTCTCCAACATCACAGCTGCGCTAAGGTTCAGGGGCCCGCTCCACTTCAACTTAACGGACTTGCAGACTAACCTGGTGCCATATCCACGGATCCACTTCCCATTATCGTCCATGGCTCCGGTGATCTCCTTGGAAAAGGCGTACAATGAACAACTAACCGTCGGGGAGATAACCAAAGCGGTGTTCCAACCCGCTAGCCAGATGGTGAAATGCGATCCGCGCCGGGGACAGTATATGTCGTGCTGCCTGCTCTATCGTGGTGACGTGGTGCCCAAGGACGTGAACACGGCGCTGGCAAGTATCAAAGCTAAGCGCATGGTGGATTTCGTGGACTGGTGCCCGACCGGGTTTAAGTTTGGCATCACGTACCAGCCGCCCACGGTGCCAGGGGGGGACATGGCCAAAGTGCATCGGGCGGTCAGTATGCTGAGTAACACGACGGCGATCGCTGAGGCCTGGGACAGACTGGATCGTAAGTTTGATTTGATGTTCGCCAAACGGGCCTTCGTGCACTGGTACCTGTGCGAGGGGATGGAGGAGGCGGAGTTCATGGAGGCCAGGGAAGACATGGCGGTGCTGGAGAAGGACTATGAGCAGTTGGGGAGCGACACTGTGGAGTGAAGACAAGAGTCATACCAATGCCAAATAAATTACAGAAATACAAGAAACGATATATATTCATGCATTTATTGGGGTGGGACAAGACATAATTTTCACCAGACGAGATTAGGTCAATGACAATGAGACAAGATGAGATTTTGACATAATTTGAAGTCCATTTCACAATTTTAACTTCACTATTTATTTAATTTATGTAATACTTTAGCGCCTATTGTACTACCGTATTTTCTGCACCATAGGACGCGCTCTGAAGCCTCCAACCCCATCAAAAAACAACTGCGAGTCCCACAGTCCAGAGCGCCCTGTACACGAATCCACTCGGGTGTCCCAGCACGACTTCAGTAAACTACAAAGCTGCACCAAACACACATAGAGCAGACAGCGATCGTGCAGCGAAAAACACCCACAGACACACTCATCGCCAACGAGGAACGGAACAAGCGAGTGCAACGTGCCACTTCTAATTTTGCTTTGTGATTTATCTTAGGGGTGTCAAATTATCGCGTTAATTGCGATTAATTAATTACAGTCATATTTAGCGCGTTATGTTTTTTAATCGCGTTAATCTCATTTTTAATCTCTAACTTTACTGGTTCTGTATGCGAGTTGCTTTATTATAAAATCTGTTTTTATGTGTTGTTGGGACAACAACACACACACACAAAAAAAACACATTTATAAAAAATTTTATTTCGGTAATTCCACTCATTGCCGGAAACCCACACAAAATGCGCGATGTAAACGTCATGTTAACGTTGGCGGCGTCGAAGAGCCAGTAGAACAGAGGCAGCAGTGCACAGGTAAAAACACATTCGTGTCTTGGAAATTCTTCTCCCGACGTGAAATATAAAAGAAAATAACAAATATAAAATCGCCTACAACTTAAATGTCACTGGTGAAAACAACCTGCATAGGCTCATGATGTCTGCACTACTGTCCTATAGCGACCTGCCACATGAGGGGACACGCACACAAACACACACAAACCGGGACTAACCCAGTCCAGGACTAAACCAGAACTAACACCAGAACTAAAACCAGGTCTAAACCAGGACTAAACCAGGACTAAACCAGGACTAAAACCAGGATTAACCCATTCCAGGACTAAACTAGGACTAAAGCAGGTCTAAACCAGGTCTAAACCAGGACTAAAACAAGGACTAAAACCAGTGATCTCATATATAAAGCATTTCTCTATCAATAATATTTTTAATATGGTTAAGGAAAGACTGGACTTTTTATTGTCTTTAAGTCGACAAAAGTTATTATGTTCAGATTTCCTCGTCTTTGCTACTTTACAGCAAACAGTTTCTTATTCATGGAGACTTGGGCTCAACAGCCAATTTGGAGAGATTTGTTAAACAATAAATGATTTTATAAAGGCACTTTTTTTGTTCTATATCAGTCTTTTGATCTGCCACAATAATGTAATAATGAATTTAAATGAAAATACCTCAAATTGAAGCTTTTCTCAGCAATTTTTAGGTGAGATTAAAATGACATTAATTAGATTAATTAATTACAGATCATAATTAATTAATCTCTCAATTTTTTTAATCGCATGACAGCACTAATTTATCTATATTTACTTTACCAATATATGGCACTTCAAAATGTGTTATTGTGACAGGTTTATGGTTTTAGCATTACGGGCAGTCTAATTTAGCCTGATGGTAGGACTTGCTTTATGGAGATACAGGAAATATTCCAGTTAAAGTAATAATGATTCACCATGGAGACAAGCAGGTTGTAGACCTGCCACCAAAAAAGTTACATATCTTTATCTTCTGGTTGCACATACATGTCAGATCACAATAATTGTAGTATTTACTTACTACTATGCTCATTTAAAGACATTTCATGTAAGCCAAGGGTGTTTTATTGCACTAAAATACCATAAAAACATGTACTGTATTTTCCGAATTATAAGTGGCAGCAGCCAATAAATGCATAATGAATAATTAAAAATCATATATAACTCACTGGACCATAAGTCACATTTTGGGGGGAAATGTGTTTTATAAAATCAGAGACAAGAACAATAGAAGAGAGAACAACAGACTGTTAACGTCACATATGAACAGTTCTTCAGATAAACTATAACATAAACAACAGAACAGAACAAGTTTAACAAACTCTCCATCTCACTCCAAATCACTAAATCCATTCAATTCTTCATTCTCTGTGTCACTTCTGAACAACTGCAACAAATCCAGCTAAATCTAGCTTTTAGCCCGTGATTTGCTTTTTTGTTTTCTTCATTGCAGTTCGAGTATCCTCCGCTTTTCTCCAGTCTCTCACAAGTTTCTCACTCACTCCAAACTTTCTTTCTTCTGCACTGTTCTGCCTCAGTTGATAAAAAAATAAATAAATAAATAGTTTTGACTTTATCTGTTTTGTCTACTGCAGCTACCGTAGCTGCCATATTGTTTTAGGCTTTTCAACTGCCAGTGTCAACTGTCAGTGTTTTTTTTTTAGCTGTTCTTGTCAGTTTTTGATTCCTGTGAACTGTTTTTTGGGCCCATAGAAATATCTGTCTGTGAGTATTGTAACACTATAACATGCTAACTCACTCTATGAGGCACTTGGGGTTGTTTTATTTTTGAGATCCCTGATAAAATTTAATATGCTAGTAGCGTTAGCCTTTCTAAGAAGATTTCCATTGATGTTAGCATGATGCTAATTGGCTGTTGTATAGACGTTTTTTGTGATGTTGTTGCTGTTGTTGTATATATTTTGAATTGTTGAGTTGCCCTATGTTGTTTTATGTAGCTCTGCTTATTCTTTGTTTGTTTAAATGTGAAGATATAATTGTAATATGGATTTATTTTTTGTATGTTACAGTTTTACAATCAACCCTTCAGTAAATATCCAAAACAGCAAGAGGCTTCCTGAGTGCTTATTGAGGACACTGTTCACTATCTGTAAAGCTAGTTCCGAAACACTAGTGGAGGCAGAATATGCACGATTACCGTTTTCAGCTGCATATGTCACTACTTGCAGCTTGTAATCTGCAGAATGTGATTAACAGTTTATTGCCGTGTGGTAAAATAAGTTCTGATGCTAAATGAACATGAGTGAATAGGATATGTCTTAATGACCTGTATGTGTTAAATTCAGGTGAGTGTGTAAATGACAAAAAGAAACATCTCAAACTTCAGTAGCCGGACATCCACTCATACCTGATCCATACACCTATCCCCGCCCCCGGAGAGCCTGAAATCTGCTGAAATCCTACAAGGCACTGACATGATACAGACAGGACAGAGGCTCTTTCTGCAGGAGACATGCACAGTAGAGCCAAGTGACAGTGGTACAGGAGGAACAGGAGCAGCAGATACTCACACACAAGACTAAAGCCTCTCTTGCAGCTGAACAGTCACATCTGAGTATAAGTCGCAGGACCACCCAAACTACACTGAAAAAATGGTCCAAGAGGAGTTGCTCAAATTGCAAAAACAAATTTGACAACAATAACATGACTTTTTTACGTTTCTCTGTCAAGCATGTTTAAATCTTACAAAGGTCACTTGATTATGGCCGATGTGAGACCTGCATGTTTTAATCAGGTTGAGGAAACATGACTTTATTAGAATCTGTGGTGAGGCTCCTCCCTCTGGAATTCTCCTCCCCAAAACTTTTGGATTGAAAATTCAAATGTAACAGGACACAGGACAGTTCCAGGAGCAGAGACACACAGTGTGGAGCAGGAGGATTATGAGAGCTGATCTGGAGGGGAGACTTTTTAAAGGTTTTATGTGCTGCTCTGGACTAGAATGTCGTCATTGTTAAAACATGTTTGTGGTGTTTTATTTGAAATTAGAGTTAATGTAAGGACTCCTTGAAACAAATTGTATTTGACTGTCCATCTACAAGAGTGTGACAGTTGTACTCAGATTTGAATGTGTTTGTTCCAGAGTCGTCTACAAACAAACAGTGACGTCCAGAGCTCTGCTGGAGCTGTGGGGAAGTTCATGAATGTTACATCTGATGTTTCAGGAAAAAAGGAAGATGTTTGAGAACCAACAAACCACAGAGCACAGATGAACAAAGTAAGTAAACCAACTCAAATGATTTTAAAAGAATTTTTCAAAATGAACTTCCTACTGAAACAGTTATTGTGTTTCTACAGGGTGATGTGGCACTAGGAGACTTTATACCAGATGCCCTCCCTGTTACTGTGTTTAGAGGAAGAAAAGCAGCACACACGGTGAGTTTTGTTTCTGCAGATACACTTCTAATGTTCTTGTGATTCTGTTCTGGTCCATTATTGTAGTAATAAGTACTTTAAGTGTATTTAAACATGTACAACAGAGTAGATCATCAGAATGTGATCATCATGTGTTATTCGTGTGTTCATAGGCAGAGACCAGAGCTTCTTCACTGGAATAAATCTTCACACTGTCCAGCTTCAAACTGTGTGTCTCTGTACTTGTGTGTCTCTGTGTGTTTGATTCTGTTTAAGACAATACAGAACTGTGGAAAACTAAAGACTGTTTTTGTTTTCTTTTACAGAATTAGATCAATTAAATTAAATTATACAGACTTATACATTTCACTATAAAGTAACATAAGATAAATATGCATATTCAACATGATATGATAAAATTTCATCAACATGAAAAAGTGATGTTCATGTTCTGAGAAAAATATGTGTAGAGAGGATTAAAATAAGTTTCAAAGCCTAAACATAATTTTATTACATGCAAACGCTTTCCAGAACTTTTTTACACAAATCCAGCAACCTTTTTTTGTCAGTTTATGATAAAAAGTGTGACTTATAGTTCAAAATATACGGTATTCTACTGTATGCGGGCTTGCTCTCCACAAATTTAACTCATAACCCATGGCCTGGTGGATGGCAGGTTGCTGCTTGTTTCCGTGGAGACAGATGTGGAGCTTGTTAATGATTCCTGGTAGCGGCACATCACCTGCATGTTTCAAACTAAAGATTCTCCAGACCCAGGAACTTCTCTGTGAAGACAAGCGGGTGTCAGAAC